AACCAGGCCAGAAATACAACTGACCCTAAAGCTTGATGAATGTCAAAAAACAACAACAACAACAACAACAACAACAACAGCAATAAAGCCCTTACTCTAAACGACGGGCGACAAGACTGAAAAAGAGGAGAGAATCTGTAGTTTGCTGTGATAAAACAAACCTGATTAAATGGTTTTCAAAATTATAGCGTAGTTCTCTTATGGCTAAATCTATTTTAACCTACTAGAGCGTGTAGTTTGGCCCATCACATCGTGTTCAACTCGTTGAGGTTTGCGAGTCTGCTTGGGTAAAGACTTATCTTCTTGGAAAGTTTGAACTTTCTGCATTCGGTAATCCTGCTTAGCCTGAGAAAATAGCAAAAGCATTATGGTTAACAAAACTAATGCATCTCTACATTTAGCAAGGATTAGGCGTTAAAAGACCTACATATGTCGTAACTGTGTCACAAAGGTTGCATCATCAAAACTTTGACCTAACCTAATTTTTCGTTAGGTCCTGATTGGTCATTGGTCTTGTCCTTCTTTCTACATCTTACTTACGTGTTTTTTCTACCTTTAGTTTTAGGCTTCATAGCTTCTAAAAAATAGCGTACAGGGTAAAAAGTAAGAGAAGAGCCAATTGTATTACGTTCTCAGTTCATCGCGAGAAAGTGCATCAAATAATCGAAACGCTGGGTCCAACTAGCCATTCAGAAGTTTTTTCTTTATGGCAAGTAACTGTCGATTTTTATTGTCATTTTTTTCTTTCTTTTGTACGGTCGGGAATCCTTATGAGATATAAGGCCAGATTGCTCTCATCACATATTGGTTGTGAACGGGACCTTGAGCGCGTTGCTTAACGAGTTTGCCAAAGCAGGGGGCCGTTTCTCGAAAGCCCCGGAAACTTTTCGGGCCCGTAAAGCCATTTTTAGTTCTTCTGTATCTAAACACGGAGAAGTGTATACGCCTGAAACTTTTTGTATGAAGGGAACCTCTTTTCATATTAAGAATACGTGAATAAAACAGCACTGTAATCATAAGGTTCGAGATTTTGCTATGGCTTTCCGGGTTCGAAAACTTTTCGGGACCTTCGAGAAACAGGCCCCAGGAAAGGTCTCCAATGAGTCCCTCGGTCGCGACGAAACGCTGCGTCACACTAGCCACTCGGAAACATCACAAAATTAAACTAGTGGTTGCAATGTCTACAGATCAGTTCAATGTGGAGATATTAGTAGACTTCAGTGGTCTTCCACCCTCAGCTTATCACCGACATTTAAGACTCTTAAAAATAAATCAGCTAGTACCCAATATCCCTTACTCTTTAAATAATGCTTAAAGAGTAAGGGATATTGGGTACTAGCTGATTTTTTTTAATCACAGTCTCAGTAATTTTAACTGCTACCAAATCCCCATGACCAGGCTGCCTTGTGAGAAAAGGATCGTGTTGGATTGGACGTGCTGGCTGTCTCTTTTCCTCTTCTAGACGTGAAAGCTCCAGAGCCTTGGCTAACGCCACCTCTTCATCTTCTACCTGATATTGGTGTCTCCAGGATTGCTAACAGGACAACAGATGACAGGATCAGTTTAGAAGTTAGGATTTCAAGATCTGCAAAGTTTGAATATTGGTGAAGCGGCAAGGCAAGAATTGCAAAGGAAAGGGGAGGCGAGAAAAGACGGCGACTGATCGATGAATGGATAAATGGATGATTTATCGATGGATCAATAGATGCATGGGTCGACGGACGGATGGATGTATAACTGAATAGGTGGACGGACGGATAGATGGATGGATGGATGGATGAATGGATGAGTGAAGATATGAAGAAATTGAAGGTAGGGTTTCTCTGAAGGCAGCAGCTCGGTGGGCGATCTAGCAGGAAGTCGTAACTCACAGCCATTGTTTAGTTTAAATCCCAGGAAATTATTGCGTCAATCACCAGCCTCGAGTCTTCTTATTCTGATTTAAGAACTTTTGCAGCTCACAAATATCTAAAACAGGATAGGGTAACAAATTTAGTACAAGTTTTCAAACACAATCTCCAGTTCTTTGCATCTCATCACTTTTACTTTGGAGGATTAATGCTACAACTCCTTATCAGATGATACTGCAGTTATAGTATCATTGGTAAACAACTTGCAACAATCCTCTATATATAACAGGTTACCAAAGCAACAGTACCACCTGTTAAAACACCCTTAACTTTAGCCTTAAGTGCTTACAACTATAACAAACAATTCCGGTGACCCCTAGAATTTTAATAAACATGATTATATTCAACATTTTGTGAAAATTCTGTGGAGGGGATTCAGAGTCACTTTAACTTTTCAGACATTCAAGATGGTTTTAAACCCTTACCACAGAATCCTTGAAACTTTGCAAAAATGGGATCTTGACATGCTTATCACAATTTGATAAAAATGAATGGGGGTCACCGAGTCCAGTTCGTTTGTTAGTTATTATGGCAATTAAAGCTAAAATTCTTTTAACAGGCCACAACTTGTTCACCAAAGATTAGGCATTTGTGTCGTACCAATATTGTCACCCCACTTGATAAAGAGTGGTAGTATTTATCTCTCAAGCAGACCTGCTGGAAAGTGCTGGAAACGGATGTTGCCAGCCACCTTAAGAGGTAACAAAACTTTTAGTTGTCATATTCGGTGTATGACATTTGCAGACTGCAGACTAACAACTAATATCAGAAGCTTATCTCTCCGAACCAACCACGGGTCAAGCCAGTTTTTTTCCTTTTTGTTTTTTGCTTTGTTTTTTTTGTCCCGAAAAAAATTAGATTATGGGATATAAAGTATTTGAATATGGGTGATTTCTTAATTTGTTCATTTCGGCTCCATAAGGTTATTGTTACTATTGTCGTTGATTTCTTTATGAAATAAACGCAGTCTTGTGACACTCATACAGTTCTGTAAACACGATCCTGCAACCTTGTGGGAACCTCAAAATTCAGGAAAGAGGCAACTCGCACGCGTGGCACGAATGTTTAATGTCGTTCACTAACTTTTCGCTGAGTCAGTAGATAGTCAACTAGATTCATGTCACTCACTATTTGGATAAGACAATCGTACATAAACACAGCAAATAACGTGGCTTGTCATCATTTGGGGGACTGAACACCATCCCAGGGTCCTCTGAGTAATCTGTTACGTAAGGCCGCAAGATGGCGCGAGCCGTGATCGAGGTGAGCCCATGTCCTGTTGTTAACCGTTAACCGTAAACAGGCTAACCAGAATGATAATCAAGCTAACTTGGCCAAAATTCGCGTGCAGTCTGCAAATGTCATACACTATATCACATTCTCCTTGACCTAATAACATTAAACACAAAGACAGCATTGTGCAGACGTTTGGTAGGTTTGATCACAACACCTTTAAAGTAAACAATAGAAATTACCACTCAATTCTGAGAAACATGTTTAGAGCACAGCCCAAACCTCACTCGTTAATCTTTAAGAACGGAAAACATATAACTCGACTAGGTGCAAAGTATCACAGCATTTTATTATTTTGATATCTTTTTTTGTATTAGATATTTTCTAATGCACCGACTGAGAAAAAAAACACATATAAGTGATACATTTTGACAAGTATTACATTGCCATTGTTCAGTCTAGACTTTTAACAAATTATCTTAGAAACATAAACATAAAACTCTCATGACTACAACTACAGCCGCTTAAACACGGAGGAAAACCAAAAGTTCGTGTAGAAGTTATCGTTATCGCGTAAAATATCTAAAACGTGCCATCTTAAGTTACATTGAAACATATTCTGGCAAAAGTCTTGCTTTATTTGACTGAGCCGATGGTGAAATGCAATATTCAGTGAGATTGTTTCTTTGCATTGCTGTAGTGTTTACTCGTTTGAAACTCGATCGCGTTAATTATCTCAGGCCCAGTTCAGACGTCGTGCTTCTGCCGTGCCGAACTAAATTGCAATTTGGTTCGACTGTAGCACGACAGGAAATCAACTCTGATTCAGACGTCGTGCCAGAGTCGAATCAAATCCAGGGTTTACTGAAGCCTCGTAACAATTCTCCTCCTAACTCCCCGAGGGAA